GACGTCACATCCATCTGAAGTGAGGAGTAGAGGACGTTATCTACGTCACCACAGGGGGCGCTGTTCAGAGAGGAGGCAGCAACGTTGGAAAAATCCACCTCAGAGTAATCGAGTTTACTGGAGTCGTCTTCAGTCTGGAGGAAAACAACAAGATCAAAGTTGAGACTCTTATTTTGAAAGTAAATTCACTTTTTCATGTTCAACCTATACAACATCTACAGAGACCCTCAGAAAAGTTGTTTTTTTATTGCACACATTAATCAAAATGTAAAAACACACATTTCATGTATCAAACCTCCACTAAACCATTTAGGTTCAATCTTGTTCTGTCCATTCTCCAGTTGTAATATACACCTCTATGCTGACGACAGCATGTTGTACTTTAGTGCTAATAATGTACATTTTGACGTCAAAGTCCTTCAGCACTGCTTTGCTGTAATTTTAAAACAAGTCAAATCAAGTGTGTGACATCCTCTGACGTTTCTGCAGGAAGGTTCTGGTACATACTGATGTATATTTGCATCTGCATCTATGTTAAGCAGGAAGTAGGACGAAACTGTCACATTTTCACCACCAGAAAACAACAACAATGTGTTTTTAGCCTGAAGTAATCCCACTCAGTGCACATATTCATCATATTTATTCTAAAATACACACTTGAACTGATGTAAAGGTTGTTTAAGAGCATATATTTGAAGTATTTCTCTTCAACCACAGCCTGCATCATGTTTTCTGTGATGTACAGTGAAGCAGAATTATTTGTTTCACTGGTCAACTGAACAATAAAAGGTTCTTTCACAACTAGTCTTGGGTACTTGGGTTCAGACCCTACAGTCTTATTTATGGTGTGATTTTTACCTGAATAATTTACATAACAGGGATAAAAACTCTACAAGAATGATGTGAATACTACTCTACCTGACTGTGACACATAAAATCTGTCTGTCTGGGAATTGAAAAGTGACTCGCTGTTACCTGGTGAAGTCTAAACTGTACAGAGTTCTGACCTGAAAGATAAAATCCCACCACAGTTTTCTTACTTTGTTCAGATGACAGCTGGTTAAGCTGAGCTGTCTTCAGCTCTGATTGGTTTGCTGTTCTTGGCGTTGCAGTAAACTGAAGATATTTCCACAGGAGGAGAACTGTTCTGTCTGTCCTCTCTGACCTCAATGACTCGATTGGACTGCAGGAGGAAGATGAAGATGAAGAGCAGGAGTTTAGTTTGAGTCAATCAGCTGCTTTCACCAACACTGATGAAGCTCAGGTGTCTGACATTTACTGACCTCTGTGACGTTGACGTAGTCCATCTCCACAGCAGGAACTGAAAGACAACAAATACAGTCTAAGATAAGATAAGATAAGATAAGATAAGATAAGATAAGATAAGATAAGGCTTTGTTAATCGAGTGCCAGATATTGCTCAAAACAAGCAAACAAACTGTCAGGAACTGGGTTTTGGGCTGTGTTGTTGGTGTGATCCTTCTCCTGCAGGTTTCCACCAGAGGGCGTCCCTGAGAACTCCTGCTGTGCTGGGGCTCATTCCCTGCAGGTGTTTTCCACACACCTGCGATTCATCAGGCTCGTTACTCCCTGGATATAAGGAGCTGGTTGCCATTAACTCAGTGCCTGAGTGTTAACTTCCTGAGCCTCTGAGTATCTCTGCTTCTCCGCAGGTTTTTTCCAGTGTACCCGCTCCTCGTATGTGGTTCCCCATGAACCTGCGCCAGACCCGAGTTTTCTCCGTTGCTTCCTGGATCATCTGGTCAGGACCGGCAAACGCTCCTGCTTCTCTCTCACTCCACCACATCGACCTCCGTACGACCTGTCCACCCCAGCCGTCCACAAACCCACGTCGACGGCCCCGCCCAGATCAACCTCATTTGCATGTTTCCAATCTCGTTAATAAATATCATTTTCCTAACTCCATTTCTCCTGAGAGTTTCTCTGCATGTGGGCCAGAAGCCGTCACAAAACCATGACACAAACAAATAAAACAGACCGTGAGAAAGACGCTTTTAAGGAACTACAACTAGAAGAACTAAAGTCAAACCAAGACAAGGAGCTGTGACTGTAAAGATGAGACAAGAACTGAAAAACCCAGAAAACAACCACACAGTCTTCCTGTTGCTGCCTGACTGTGAGGTTTCACTGTAACCTCATAGATGGACAAAGAGACGAAGCAAGAGGAAATGATGCCATCTGGTTTCATGTCTATTGTTGGTTCAAAACTACCAGCAGTAGCTTCACGACCAACTTTTAGCCTCTGAGATATTCTGCTAGATGTAAGAATCAGAATCAGAAACAGATTTATTGCCAGGTATAGTTTGCACAATACGAGGAATTTGTTCTGGTGGGTTGGTGCAACAATAAATATACAGTGAGGTACAATGTACAAGATGAAAATATGAAAATAGCTAAAAAATAAAAGCAGCTAAGAATAATAAAAACTGTCATAGTGGAAAGCATTTACAGCTCGATAACCTGTTACATAAACAGCAAGTTAACCTTCTAGAACTAGTCTCATAGTCTCACAGGACTGGTTACCAACCTGCATGATTTTGATTCAGATTAAATCCACTTCAGTTTATTTTTTACAGCACTTGTAACACACAAGTGTGACAGTTTTAAGACGTCACAAACTGTCACCGCAAGGACACAACTTCTGTTGCTCACTGACCTGGATAAAGGTGAGTTTAGGTTCAGGTTTAGGTTCAGGTTCAGGTTCAGGTTCAGGTTCAGATAAGCTTCCAGGAGATGAATGTGAGTCAGTGAACAGTGATGAAGTGATGGAAGCTGTGTGTGTTTCTGGAGCTTCACCTTCAGCTTTGCTGGATCTTCTCTTCCTCCAGAAAATCACCAAAGGCATCGATAACACCAAGATCTTGACGACCAGA